GTAGCCGCGTAAACGTCCGCGTTCAACGTATAATAGTGGCGACCTTAGAAATATCCCGGACGGGGATAGAAATGTACACGGAGCCGGTGATATACTCGGATGGCTCGATAAAGTATCTGCTGGATTGTTTCGCGTGGAGGTCCCGCGAACGTAACTCAATACCAGACCAGACCCTTGTTTCGGGAAACGAGGGACGTGTACACGCCCTTGGGCCTTGTGCCGGGCCCCATGTATTGAGCTGTAACGCGCGAGACATCCTCGTTTCTTTTAAGTTGATATAGAAGCACTTCCAGCTGCATACTTCATTCCTTGTATCGAACATCCTTCCAAGCTTCTCGGGGAAATTTATCATCCGAGCCCGGTTGACCTTAGGAAGAAAGTTCCTCTCAGCGTCTCAGCACAGTCTCGTCTAGGGGATTCGTATAATACTTGACGATTCTGCGTCAACAAATATTAGGTAACTTCCGAACGAAAATCAGAATTGAAATTTTTAATAGCAAAAGTTGATTTTGACAATAGTCTTATTCTATATCGTTCTTTAATTTGTCCTGCTATTGTCTTCTTCTTAAACGTTTTTCGAACTTTAAAATCAAGTCGTTTCTTTTAATTCAAATTGTATTAATCGGTTCATATTCAAATTATGGTAAGAAAAAAAAAATTTGCGAAACTTTTTAAAGTCGATAGTGTAATAATTCAGCTACATAAAATAGCGTAGATTTTTTTTTTTTAGAACTCTTTGCGAGTCGTACAATTAGTTAATTCTCTCACGTCAGAATTAGCAACTGTGAAAGATCAACGTGAGAAGAATATGAAGAAGAATGTGTGTACAATGGATTTTTTTTTCTTTTCGCTTCAGCTTGGAGAAATATAAATCTTCATTCGCGTTACAAAATTACCCTCGGGCGCTTAACACCCACTTTTCACACTCAACGAGTCGATACTCTCTGCCCCGTTTTTTTAGTCAAATAGCGCGTAGATATCTAAATTGTTGACTAGATAGAACAACGAGGAGATTAAGATAACAGGTGTTTAATTTCTTTTACAGGGAACGGGTATATAACGATACATCTGATAACAGGAATATTTATCTGCAGTGATTTATCTAAAGCACGTTGTTAGTTGAATTATTTATCACTTCTCGCCTCCGCGAATCTTTAATTAGGATGGGAAGAACTCAATTTTATTAAAATTACGTTTCGTACGAAGCATAAAAATGTTGAAAACTTGTGGATATTTATGGTATCTTGTAAAAAAGATAACGAAGGAGAAAAACATGGAGAACTGGTCCAAGATATAAATTTCTTAATCGTAAAACAATATAGAAAAATGACTTGAAAATCCATCTTTGAAATTGTTCCCACGTAAAAATTAAAAAATATAATTTATCATTGCGATTTATTATTTCTTTTCTCTCTGACTTTCATTCCTTTTACAAATTCTTTCTCTTCGTAATAAAAATAAAATATACACTCCACAAGTTATAATTCAATTATTCTTCAATCTTTCAACAAATTCAACGAAACATCCAATCCTTAAATTATAACCAATTCTACTCCAAAATATCCAATTCATTTACTCCATTAAATATATACCATCGATATCCTATATCTGGCACAAGAATCAATTGCCTCGTCGTATTTTAATAATCAACCTAACCAAACCTAAGATTGTAAATTTCCAAATACGATCGATAAAATCTACCGTGAAAACTCGATCGATTTCCCAGATATCGATGAAACAAAATAAAAAAATTTTGAAACGGATAAAAATAAAAGCATCATTATCGATCGTCCACGTGTCACGATTTAAACCTTCCGAAAATAGGATTCATAATCGTTAATCTCACGCGTATTAACGTCTTCCTTGTTGCGCAAATCAAAAAGTTCATACTTGATCTGTTAACGTAGGAGAGGGGAGAAAAAAAGAAAAGAAAAAAAAAAAAAAAAAAAAAGTTAGCGCCCGGCCAAGGGAAAAAAAAAAAAAAAGTTAGCGCCCGGCCAAGGGAAAAAAAAAAAAAAAGTTAGCGCCCGGCCAAGGGAAAAAAAAAAAAAAAAAAAAAAAAAAAAAAAAGTTAGCGACCGGCCAAGTGATAATAACAAAGCTGTTAATCCAACCGGGTCGAGAGGAAATATCCGTGGTTTAATCGAGCAACTTTTTTCGCGGTTCTCACGACTACATACCCTGCTCCTGACGCGGGTTACGAAACCCAGGCTGGACGAAAATTAATGGGTGAAACGTACGTGTATACATATATTGCCGGCTTCTGCGTACTTATACAATATCGCATAACCGCGAGCCTGTATCCACATAAATTACATCAGCCATTTCCACAATTGCGCCAACTTTATGCGAGACCCGGTATATAACGTAGGCCGGGAGGACCTGCTATCGTTTTGCTCGTGAAGTTTCGAACTGACCTCGAACGTTTATCACGAATTTTCGACGGTCATTTATATCTTGCACAGAAGGCAAAAAGGAATCCGCAAACACCGTTTCTGGATGTATCGTGCGAGGAGGGAAGCTTTTGCTTCGTAATCGCGATGGATCGTTTCGATCTTTTGTTTGTGTTTAGGATTAGGATTAGTTCTCTGTTCCTTGGTATAATACGATAAATATTTATATTAAAAAATTTTAACTTGAAGTAGAAAGATTGAATATAGTGAACGTTGAATGAGTATTTAGAAGATCTAAGTTGAGAGAGATGAAGAACTTTAAAAGGGATATCCTCTCAAGAGGATATTTTTGTTTTAAATTAGTAAACATGAGGTAATTTGAGGATGATTCTCTCGTCAGTGAATTTAGAATCAATTTAATAATTATTCTATGCTCGTGTATCCGTGTAATATGTGAAATTTATCAGTTTCGAAGCAACAACTCTGGCTTTGAAAGTGGCCACGTGATAATTCCTTATTAATTTTTCTACTCCACTTCGTCTGAAAACTGAAAAGTTATCTTTTACCTGCTCTTCATATAAACACGTTTCGCTGTTTATCTTTAATATAAACATACGGTTGAACAGGATAGCAACCGTTGTCGGGGTACCGATAAGAAATATCGTCGAAACACCTGCAACGATACGCTCAACTTGGTTGGATCCAGCTCTATCTTTAATGAGCCTGAGATCACCGAACGGAGTCACCCATACCAATTCGAGCTCGGTGTTAATGATATCAACGAAGTCACGTTTCATGCGTGTATGCGGGCCCTTTTTCCCCATGATGGTA